TGTTATGAAAGAATTAATTTATAATATAAAATATTTGAGACTAAAGAATGGGAATTTCCTCACTTTTCCATATTAAAAAATTATATTTAATTTATATATCTGTGATTGGGTCAATTGATTTTGGTCAATTTACAAATGGCCATAGAGAAACTGATCCCAATTTCAATCGAAAATATTAGAAACTGAGCAACTCGGGTCGAGGTGGTCGAGTTGGTTGGTTACATTAGTTCGATGAATAAACTTAGATGAAATAAACTATTGTTATTTTTGTATTGTAAAAAGTTATTAAAGGCATACAATTGTTTTATATTTCTAACTTTTTAAATAATGATTAATTATTAAAAGTATACAATTGTTTTGAATTTTTTATTTTTTAATTCCATGTCATTTTTGAAACAACCAATGAGATGAACTTTCCCAATATCCTAAATAATCTCTTCTCCAAAATTTCTCCTAAACTACCTCCCCCAGTATCCCCCACTTTTCTTCAAAATTATCTCTAATTCCTATTTATTTTCTAAATTATCTCTAATTCCTATTTATCTCCAAAATTATCTCTAATTTAGTAGAGAGCTTCTCTCCTAAATTATCTCTAATTCCTATTTATCCTCTCCCCTACTTTTTATCTATATCTATCTAAAGAAAGCTTGGATTAAAAAATTTAAGAATTATTTAAATATTCTAAAAAAATTATATAATAACATAAAACTATTTATTGAAAACACAAAAAATAATTTTATATTTTTACAAAATATATCATGAAATTATGTACTAACAATTTAAATTATGTTTTCATGGATTACCAATTTATATTTAATAATATGTAATAGTATTTAAATATTTAAATAACTAAATATTTACCATAACTAGATTTTAAATAGTTATAACAACAAAATTATGTAATAAATTTAAAAATTTTCTTAAAAGTAGAAAATTAATTATAACATAATATTGAAATTATGGATAATTTAATATATTACAAAATTAATAATGAAACTATGTAATAATAGTATAAATTATGATTTTATGGATAATTAAATTCAATAAATAATTAATATTTTAAAATTTAAATATTTTACATATTATTTAAGTATTTAAATAACTAAATATTTTAAATAGAAAAATATTTAAAATAACTAGATTTTAAACAATTAAAATAAAAAAATTATGTAATAAATTTAAAAAAATAAAAAGGAAAAAAATAATAATAACATAATATTGAAATTAATAATAATTTAATATTTTTACATAATATTGAAAATAACTAATTTCACTTATATCAAGTAATAATTTGAGAAAATAACTTTCAAAAAAAGTAATATTTATTAATAATAATTTTGAACTCTTAATCCATATATATTATATAATTATATATACTAAAATTAATATTTATTTTATTTTAGTAATTATTTATTTATTTTTGTGATAAATGTATTTTTAATTATTATGTATAAATTTATTTTGTTTTTTATTTAGCAGAAAACTTTTAATAATTATTGGAGATTAAATTATTATCATTGAAATTTTAAATTTAATTTATTGTATTTTTGTTATAATTTATTGATTAATATTTATTAGAGATTAAACTATTATTTCAGATTATTCTATTTATTGACTAAGTTAATATATTTTTAGTACTTATTGTAATTTTGTAATTATTGTATTTTTCATTATTAATATATTCTCAATAATTGTATATTTTCGCTATAAATTTTTAATAATTATTGGAGATTAAAGAGTTGAGACTATTAATATAGCTGTAATTATGAGTATTCATGAGTTGGTTTGGTTCAGTTCTAGCCTATTTGACCAACCAAATTGACATGGTCAGCTGAAACTGATTGACCTTTTGTGAAAACTGACCCACTCAAGTTGTATTGGTTTGGGTCGATTTTTTGGTTTGGCCAATCGGATCAAAACATTTAAACTTAAAAAATTTAATTTAATTTTAAAAATTATAGTATAATTATTAAAAATTAGATTTATGATATAAAATATTTTAGACTAAGAAATATGAGAAATTTCCCACTTTTTTATATTAAAAATTTTTAAAATATAAAATATATATATACATGGTTAGGTTGTTTGATTTTGGTCGGTTTACAAATGACCAAAGTGAAACTAATCCAACTTTGTTGAATTGGGAAATTTTTTAATCAAAGTTGACCTAAAATACTAGAAAACTGACCAACTTGGGTCGAATTGATCGGGTTGGCCAGTTTCATTAGTTTGATGAATAAACCTAACTGAAATTAATTATTGTTATTTTGTGTTATAATTTTTTTTAAAGTAGTATATAAAATATGAATAATTATTAATTATTTTAAAGTTTAAAATATAAAACAATTGTATACACTTATGTGTCTCTATTATGGTCATTGACTAGAACAGACGTTATAGTTTTAGATATTTACTTAAACTTATCGTATAGTTTTCATTTACTAAAACATCCCATATATTTTACAACTTATTTACTTAATCAACCTTTCATTAAGGAGGGTTTGTTTTACGATTAATTCAATGATTTTTTATTCTAAAAATACCCTTAATATTTTTTTGTACAAAAAACAAAATTGACCAAATATAGTCAATAGAGTAGTTACTCGTGTCTTATTAAGAGAAAAATGATATTTCTATTTATTTTTATTAAAATTATTTAAATGAATATTAAAATTAACACTATCATTTTCCACTATCATCTAATAGAAAATTAATTAAATCTATTATAAATTATAAATAATATTTTAATAAAATACTAACTACATAATAGATTTTAGTAATTCCATAAAACTATAAAGTAATGGTATTTTAATAAATCCCCAACATCGCGAGTCTTTGCTATAGAAGATGGCTCATATAACGTCACAATCAAACAACATCTACTGTCTAAATAAGGAAAGGTATTATTTTAGTTCAATGACGTCAACTAATAAGATATATTTAAGGTATCTTTCAAGTCAATTGGTGAAAACTCTTAAAGTAGTTACTATAACTTTTACGGGATTTTTGTAGTTTTTATAATTTTTATAGTTACTATAATTTCTGTAATTCATGTAAATTTTTTATTTCTATAAGTACTATAATTTCGATAATTAATTTATATAATTCATGTAGCTTATAAAATTGTTTTAACCAACATTTTAAAAAATGACTCGGAAATGGAATCATTCTGGCCATCAGTTTCTAGGTCAACGGTCCGATCGTCTAGTTCGAATGGACGACCTGTTATGATAATAAAATTAAAAAAAGTAAAAATGATTAAAAAATAAAATAATGGTAAAAAAATTGTTGAACGGGTCAACGGGTTGATGGTTCGATCGCCCAGGTCAACGATTTGTTAACTTTTTCAATGGTTTTTTATCAGATTCTAAGTTTTGGGTAAAATGGAATCAATTGTTTGAACGGTTTTCAGGCCGAATGATATAATCTTCTGGGTCAATGGCGATTCAAAAATGATGATTTTAACTTTTATAATTACTCTGGATTTACTTTATTTACTTTAAAATGTCCGTATTTACTATGTTTTATAATTATTCTCATTCGTTTAATTTCTATTATTTCTCTAATTTTTACAATTTTTTTTGTAATACAAAATCATTGTAATTTTTATTTTACTATAATTTCTATATTTATTTTAATTACTGCAATGCTTTGACTTCGTACTTTTCTATACCTGTATAAGCCAGAATTTGGATTGTGTATTTGTGTTCTATTGGTTTACGTAAGTTGAAAAGTTATCCTTGAAAGGTTCTGCGGGCCCAGACAAGACCTCATGGACAGCCGCAATGCCACAGTGCTCCATTATTGACATTGGATTGGATGAATGGCCATTATTGTTGGAAAAAGACAAGAATTAATGAATGACCACCGCCCACCATAGGAAGAATGACCGTGCAGTGGGAATCAGATTCGGGTGTATCAGCCCTGATCAGAATTTTATAGTCCCAAAGTATAGGGAAATGCATCTGACCGTAAATTGATGCCAAATTTACGAGTAGGATGTGGTTTAAGGAAAGAGCTAATAATAAAGCGGGGGGGCTGGAATTCAAAATTCTGCGTGTGTATCCGTAATTTTTTGGGTTATATATAAGGGCAATTTTTTGGGTTTAATATTAATAAAAGTAATATATTTAAAAAAATTTTAGAAATAGGTTAATTTTTTAAAAATAATTTCAATAAAGGATAAAAATATTGTTCATCTTCTTCTTCTTGTCATTTGTTCATCAGAACCGTCGTTTGCCGCCATTTGCCACCTCCGCTAGCACTGGTGGTTTCTCTATTTGTGGCTAGCAGTAGCGGATGGCGGTGGCGAGTGGTTGCAGGTGGCGGCGGGCAGTGGCTCTAGTGAATAAATGGCAAGAAGAAGACGAACAATATTTTTACCCTTTATTGATATTATTTTTAAAAAGTTAAACTATTTTTAAAAATTTTTTAAATATATTATTTTTATTAATATTAAACCCCAAAAGTTGCCCTTATATGCTATTATCCCAAAAATATATAATTTTTTGTTGGCAGAAAAAATAATATATCAGAGAAATATGAATACACCCAATGTAAAAATCTGATTTCCACTGCACAGCTATAAACATTCAAAATAACTAAACACTACACCGTATGCACCATATCCGCCTATAAATTGCATCAATTTCAAGTTGACGCCAACCCCAAATGAACAACCTACAAATTCTGATAATACTGGGGTATTGGTTATTAGGCTGACTGTCGTTAAGCGGTGGCTTTAGTTGCTATAATTTGCAGATTCGTTCTAATAGACACGGCGATTCGAATCCCGACTTCACCAATTTTGGGGAAAGTGGTGCGTTTGTTATCACTATCCACCAAATACCAAACAAAATTACACAAAAATCACTTTCACGGTTTTACCAGGAAAAAAAAATGAAATTTACACAAAAACCATCCATAGTCCATAGATTTTGAATAATTGGCATCTCAGAGCCTAGTGAATACAATAATATATAGGCTATTTCAAGAGGGGAGTTTTCTTGCACGGAAGACTCTCTGCTTCTCTCCTTTTCCCTCCCCTGGGTGAGACTTTTTTTTTCGAGGTTTCTTACTTAATCTGCCCGCTTCCCTCGAAGAAGGATTGAAATCCGAGGGATTTCAGGGTAAGCGGGCAGGTGGGTAAGTATTGGATTGGCCCAAAATCAACTTATTTTGTGTAATCGTTGGAGGAGAAGGGGAAGAGCTAAAGCTGCTGAATATTATGGGGTTTGTTGTTGATTCTAAAAAGGGTAGTGGTAGTGGAGGTGCAGGAGGCTCTTCGTGGGGATTTCGATGTGTTATGAGGCGAAAACAAGTTGATTCGGTACATGTGAGGTCGGGGGTTCGCCAATTGGCCAAGGAATTGACTGTTCTTCAGCTTCTTGCAATTGGTAATGAATTTTGATTTTCAGTTGTTAAATTTTGGAGTTAAGTTTCAAGTTTAGTGGAGGGTCCGGGGTTGGGTTGGGGTACTCAACTATCAGATTCGGCTGATTTGTTTCCCCTTGTTTTCTATCCCTTTTCGTTGTTTGTTACAAGGTTAATAGTTTTTCTCATGAGTTTGTTTGCTTTTACAGCTTTTGTTTGAATTATGTACCTGAATTGTTTTTATTTTTTATTTCTTCCCCTTTTTTTATGTTTTTGATGGGAATTCACTTCCGGTTCTGACTGCATCAATTCTGGTAAAAGTGTAGCTTTACCGTCTCAACATGGTTATGACGATTGATGTAAAGCTTTTGTTTTTAATGCTTAAGTTGTGGATTTTGTATTTTCTTCTCTCTTTAATGGATTTATCTGGTTAATTTTCATTATTCTCTTTTGCTCGCAGTCCACTTTAACATGATAGGAATGATAATTATGAAGCAAGCAATGTTAGAAGACGGAGTGCTTCTGCTTTGTGTTATGGTGTAGTCACGGTTTTTTCCCTTTTGGTTCTTTTTTGCTAGGCAAACCGGGGAGGGGTGTGGGTGTGGGGTTTCTGTAGCCAGACTCTCTAATGGTGTGCCAAGGATTTAATCAAAATACTGATTAATTTGCATGATCCTGTCAGAGTTGGGTATTCATATATTTACTTACTTTTAAACTTTTGGTTTCTTTCATTAGGTGTTGGATCAACCATTGGCGCTGGAGTGTATGTTCTTATTGGAACAGTTGCTAGAGAACATGCAGGTCCTTCCCTTACCATTTCCTTCCTAATAGCTGGGATAGCAGCAGCTCTTTCAGCATTTTGCTATGCGGAACTTGCAAGTCGTTGTCCATCTGCTGGAAGTGCCTATCATTATTCCTACATATGTGTTGGAGAAGGGTAAATATTGACATTCATAGATCATTTCAATCCTTCTATCTCTGCTGACATGCCGTTTCTATAGGATCATATAATTATTTAATGCCAAGAAAGATCTTGGGTTTGGATGGTTTCCAAACAGTTTGTTTTTATTCTTCTTCTCTCTGTCTCACATAGTAGTTATAGGATGTCTCATATGGTTTTCTAAATGATTTCAGTGTTGCTTGGTTGGTTGGTTGGGCTCTCATACTAGAGTATACCATTGGTGGCTCAGCTGTTGCCCGTGGCATATCTCCAAACCTGGTGAGTTAGATTTTCCTTCCACAAACTCTCTTTCTTTTGCAAGTTAACTTTGTAGTGAGTTTAAAGCAGATCTATGCTTACTGAAGTATTTCAGTTTCTAAAAATAAAAATAAGGACCAAAGTTAAAAATATTCTTGCAAAACATTCCTTTAGAGCTTCGTTTCCCCTCTTTATACATGCATAACCAATATATTGCAAAATGTTTTTATGAACCTTCATCCACTAATAAACAGTAAAGCTTGTTCTATTTCTATTAGGCCCTGTTTTTCGGAGGAGAGGATCATCTTCCACCTTTTTTGGCCCGTGTATATATTCCTGGGCTTGATGTAGTGGTTGATCCATGTGCTGCAATACTAGTTCTTCTAGTTACTGGACTCTTATGTGTGGGGATCAAGGAGGTATCCTTTTAGCAAAAGCCTTTTACATGTAACAGTGTAATTTGTTTGCCTGCTTTCTATTTAAACACTTTTTTCTTGCAGAGTTCATTTGCTCAAGCCATTGTTACAACAGCAAATGTATGTGTCATGGTATTTGTCATTATAGTTGGTGGATACCTTGGCTTCAGGACTGGATGGCCTGGATATGAACTTCCAAGCGGGTAACAGGAGTTTCTTTCATATCTTTCTTTTGTGACAAATGAAGTCTTTTGTTGATGAAATCTTAGTTTATGTTTTTTTTGATTGATAATCTTAGTTTATATTTCTTATTGAATTCTTCAGCTATTTTCCCTTTGGGGTCAATGGGATGCTTGCTGGTTCTGCAACAGTCTTCTTTGCATATATTGGGTTTGATTCAGTTGCCAGCACAGCTGAGGAGGTATGTGAACTTATTAGTATTTGAAATTAAGATTGACATTATATTGACTTCAACCTATCTGTCACCAAATTTTGCCTTGGGGATAAACTTTTATGTACTTTACATTTAAATGTTAGTTTTCAAGACATTTATTGTAGCTCAGGGGAGTCTGTTTCACTGAAAAGTGTCAAGAATCATGTGAAAACCATGGAAAACTTAGAGGGTTAGAACCTTTACATTCCAATTCTCCTCCTCCCTCAACCAAAAGAAAACAAAAAGAAGAAAAGTTTTTTTTTTTTGACTTAGTACCTGATTTATTGCTTTTTATTTGATGATTGACTTGGATATACTGATTATTTTATTTTTCAATTATGGGCTTGAATTAATAACTTTTCTTTAGCATGGGTTAGTGATAACTGAAGCTAAGTACAATCATCTCCTACAATGATAAACAATTTAAATGTTTCTTAAGCTTCAAATCAATTATTGTTCTTAGATCATTGCATCTTCATAACAGGTGAAGAATCCTCAGCGAGATTTGCCACTGGGTATAGGGATTGCCCTGTCTATATGTTGTATGTTGTATATGCTGGTGTCCATCGTAATTGTTGGCCTGGTACCGTTCTATGCTATGGATCCAGACACCCCAATATCCTCTGCATTTTCTAGCCATGGGATGCAATGGGCAGTGTATGTTTAAAAAATTTTATTTCTATAATTAATATTCCAATGCTGAATGTAAATTTGAGGGTTTGTGGGTGAAGCTTATTTGTTTCAATTTTTGTTGGTTTTAATTGTAGATACATAATTACAGCTGGAGCAATTACTGCACTTTGCTCAACCTTGATGGGTTCAATTCTTCCTCAGGTAAATAGTTTCTAAACAAAGATGAATAATTGTTGAACATCTGTTTTCGTAAAGGTTATTCCATTCAATTACTTAGTTTGTATATGGTTAGATTTTGGTTTCACTTACAAATGCCATGTAATTTGTTCTGTTAAATGATAATTTCCAATGACACTTTGAGGTTGAAGTAGAATTTAGTTTGTAAATAACTTCTATTGGTTGTTGCTAATGGTTAAACATTTTTATTTCATGGCGCTTCCTACCCATTTTTATCCAAGCTGTGTATCTGTACTGCCATATATATCTCAGAACCCCGAAACCAGCAGATTTGGTTGGATGGATGATGTATACCATTGAAATTTGTACTTAGTTTATATAGATGAAGGCAACTCCTCTATATTTTCATTAGACTAAACTATGTCAAGATTTTTTTCACCAAAAAACAGGGAAAAACCTATGTCAAGATATTAATTTGGTATAGGATACTCTGTTCACAAGCCTGCCATATGGTTTTCTTATTATCTGTATTACTGAAGTTATTTTGTTAACAATTTTGTTTTCACATTTGTTTTTCACCAAAAAATATGTAGCATATGCTCATATTTTTTTTTCTCTAAACTTTGTACATATTGAAAATTTTGTTAATCTTGGCATTGTTCAAATTTTAAATTCAATAGTTTTAAAAACTTCAAATAAAGTGATTTTACCAATTAAAAAAGTATGATACCTCCATCTTGGATCAAATTTCCTTAGTTGTGGATTTTATTTTTATTTTATTTTTTTACTTTTAAAAGAGGACTCAATTCTGAGTAAAAGTTTTGTCACAATCTCTTTTATTCTATGTTTAGTGGGCTTTATTGGGATGGTAGGTTAAGTCTCATTTATTTTTTGCTTTATGTTTATAGGCCACATGTAATGGGCCATCATAAGCCCACCATTCTTTTATTTTTTTATTCCTAATGTAGCAGCGATCCTACTCAGGGTGGTATTGTCCTTTTATTTTCAATTAAATATACTGAAAGGCGAGAGCTGTATTCAGCTCTCGATAGAGTCTTCTTCTTCAACCTATCTTCTTTCATCTTCTCTTCTCTTACTTCTGAACCTCTCTACCTTTCCTTCCATTAGATCTTGCTATTTTCTTTTATTTTTCTTCTCTTTGACATCTTGTTATCAGAGCAGGAACTCTTCACCTTTCCTTAGGGTGTATGGGGTTCTGAGAGGCTGATCATCTCTCTCTTATTGTCACCTGGTTGATAGGGTCCCTTGGAGAGCTTTAGTGGTTGTTTCAAGCCCTAGAAGCTGCTTCTTCTGTTGCTGCCCAAGATCAGGATCAACTAGAGAGATAAGGCACATAGATTTTGGGAGATGGTGGGGTTACAAAACTGTGATTTGGAGATTTGAAGTTGTAATTGTTCTTGTTCTATTTTTGTCATCAGGTGTTGCCTTAATCCATGATATACTATTTTTTTTTTTTAATAAGTTTTCTTATACTTATAAAAAAAGAGAAGTAAAGCACGTTTTTGAATTTCACATCAAAGGGATTGATTGCAATTGGTGCTCCATTGTTTCTGGAGTTAGTTTGGGCTGTTTTGGAGGTTGACTTGCATTGGAAGATTTATATCAAGGCTGGTAGGAGCAGTGTTGTTCACAATATTTTTTTGATCAATAAAGTAAGAGTATAAGACAAAGAAGATAGTGAGAGATAAGCTTTCTTATCTCTCCCCTCAAAGTAAAAACAAAAGTTTACAACTGTGCCCAACATAATCGATTTCTCCCTACCCCTTGTTTGGCTAGAGAATCAGCCATAGAGTTTGTAGTTCTTTTCACCTATTGTAACCCTAAATCCATTTTCCTAGTAATCCATCAAAATTTGTTCTTCTCATTGTTGTACCTCCACATCCTAGCTTCCTCAAGTTCATACCTCCTACCCTTCGTACTCCTTCCATCAAAGCCGTTACTTCAGCCCTTAAAGAGTCCCCCTCACCAACTGGCCTGAAAAAATAAAGCAACAACACCTTCATCATCCTTGAAAACCCCTCCAATTTCAAACAAACCCAGATTGCCCAAACTACTCCCGTCAAAGTTTAGTTTGATAAATCCTCTTTCTGGTGGTGACCAAACAAGACTGATAACTTGCTTATTAGAAGTTGACTCCATCGTCTGCTCATAGTTTTCAAGGCGCCAAGGCGAGGCTAGGCGACTGGGGGGTGCCTTGTCGCCTAGTCGCCTAGGTGATGGATTTTTTATGTTAAAAACATAGATCCTAGGGTAGTTCCCTAGGTACCATAACCATATTTCTTTAATAATTATTCATGATTTTCATAAGAAAAGTATAAATTTCATATTAAAGTATAGAAAATCAACATATTCATGAGAAGAAAAGGAAGAAGGAAAAT